CAGTGGCTGATTGGCACATTGAAAAAAAAAAAAAAAAACCTAAGTCATTGGCTCATTCGATTTTTTGTTTGTGTATGTGAGAGTGACTGTTTTTATTCAACAAATTAAAAAAAAAAAAAACCTAAGTCATTGGCTCATTCGATTCTTTGTTTGTGTATGTGAGAGTGACTGTTTTTATTCAACAAATTAAAAAAAAAAAACTCTCTATTATAGGCTCACCCAATGCTTTGTGTGTGTGTGTGTGTGTGTGTGTGAGTGTTTGCCACATTGAGAATGTTGTAGGCTCACCCCTTTGTTTATGTGCATGTATGATCTGCATTGTGTTGGATTTATTGATTTTTATTGGACAAATAATACAAATGTTCTAAATTATAATATTTCCTATTCATTTCCTATGGGTGCCCACTTTTGTCCACGAAGGACAAATTGAGTTTTTTTTTCAACCACTTACTTAACTTTGTTGAATCGAGTCCTTTTTGTGTGTGTGTGTGTGTGTTTGTGTGTGTTTGTTCAGGTGGCAAACTTAGGAAAAGTAGCCAAGTCTTGTACAGTTCAGAATAATATAAAAAAAAAAATTTTGCCCAACATTTGTCCCAAAGGATGCTTGAGGGTTAATACATGACTGAAAACTAAATTATGACTTTTTTGGTACAGAAACCTTGACTTTTTGACAACTCATATTAAATGCGGTACATTTTAATTTGACCGATATCTGTAATTAGAGTAAATATGCTTTGTAATGTAAATAAATAAATTAGATCTTGTAAATGGCTCTGTCGCTAGGTTCCAGCTAGATTGGTTTCTAGTGGCAGCAGCTGGCTGGATAAACCTGCGATCCTTCACTGTGTGAGAAACTCAGACAGGGTACACAACCGTAAAAACACTGGCTTCAACCTAATCAAACACAAGAGCCCCTCTCTGGATGCTGATGCTTTTATGAAGCCAGGGATACCTCAGGGCTGTGTGTGCGGTTTTCTAGAAATGTTCTTTTTAGACTATTATTGTGTTACACTGTGTTGTGTCTGTTTGTGTTTGTATGCTATGAGTTAGATCATAAATGAATCATATGTTGTGTTTGTGCTGTGGTAAAGTGATAATATTGTCTTGGGTTGTGACACTGCACTCTATATCAACACATATAAGGTTGTCTTTGTGTATGAATTAAATCAGTGGTTCTCAACCCTTGTGACTCCAAGGCCCCCCATTGTCCACAACAATATTCAAAGTCCTTCTAGTTGTAGTTTTTAATAGACTGAACTTATTTTAACTTACTGTAAACAATAAGTGTAACATGCATCATGCATCCAGATTTTCCAGGACTGTAGGAACCCTGCTTCTTCAAAGGAAACAAACGGGGCACAAATTAAAATAAGAAATATCTTGATTTTTGATTGTTTTAGCAAATTGTAATGGCTGTTTTGTCTTATTTTAGCTTACATGTTTAGCTTGATGTTTGCAGAGGCCTCCTATTGGGCCCCGGCCACGCAATTGAGAAATATTGAATTAAATATTGCACAAACACTGTGAATTAAATACATTTATGTGTCCCTATGATGTACTGATATAAATTTCAGGCTAATGGTCTTGTTAAGTAAGAATTAACTTGCTGTTTAGTAATGCAAAAGAACTTAACACAAATATTGTATGTATATATTGTACGGTTGGGGAGTAACATAATACATGTAACTTACATATTTATAAAACAAAATATGGGTAACTGTATTTCATTACAGTTACATTTTAAATGGGTGTTAATCAAATTAGAGTTACATCCAAAAAGTATTTAGAATACTAAAGTGACTAATTTGAATTTTAATGTCATTCCTTTAATTTAAACATTATTGTAAACTGTAGCAGGCAATTAATGTAAACAGCAATTGGTGATTTTCTGACTCTGATGACACTCTGCAAAAGCATCCTAAACTGCAGTTCTGCTCATAATTTTCATAACCCTTGCAGAATATACAAAATTGTAAGAATTGTAACAAAATATGAGGATCATCATCAAATTGCATGTTATTTTTATTTAGTACTGTCCTGAAAAAGCTATTTCACACAACAGATAATTACATATACTCAAATGACTGAATTTATGAAAATTGCCCCGCATTTAAAAATGTACCTTGTTATCTTAACTGTCTGTTGTTACCTAAATGATCCATGACTGTTTTCATGCTTTGCAATAGTTGTTTGTAAGTCCCTTGTTTGTCCTGTGCAGTTAAACTGCCTGCTGTTCTTCAGAAAAATCCTGTAGGTCCCTGCACATTCTCAGGTTTTCCAGCCTCTTCTGCATTTTTGACACATTTCCAACAATAACTGTATGATTTTGTGATCCATCTTTTCACATTATATGGACAATTGAGGGACTCATATGCAACTATTACAAAAGGTGAAAACATTTACTGACACTTACAAAGGAAACACAATGCATTGAGCAGGGGGTGTAAACTTTTGAATAGGATGATGTGTAAATATTTCTGATTTTGTTTTAAAATCTTTTTTTTTTTTTCATTTAGTACTGCCCTTCAGAAGTTAATACTTACATGTTCCTGGAAGACAAAATAAGTACTTACATGTTCCCAGAAGACAAAATTACCCTGTTCATCCAATTCAAAAAGTTTACACACCCCAGCTCTTAATGCATTGTGTCACAATCTTTTTTTTCCTTCCTATGCAGAGGAAAACCAAGTCCTATGTTTGGTGGATGTCATTTTTCTCTAGAGGACATTTTTTGCTACATGCCTCAGTATATTAGTCTTCCAAAGTATTCTAAAGTATTTAGATTAAGGTACAAAACTTGTGTAATCTAACAACATACATTACAAATTACTTTTTAAAGCATGTACTTTGTAATCTGTAGTGAAATACATTTTAAAAGTAACCTCCCCAACTCTGTATATGTTACATTTATTTGTTTGTTTGTTTTTTGAATGTTAAAATGTTTTAATTTTCTATTTATTTTATTTTAAATTAGTAACATATGTAATATAAAGTATCCATAATATAAAATTACCAGAATTTTTCTTTTATTAAAATTCAATCAGTGAGTAATTAACCCAGCACACCTGCACGCCCTAGATTAGTGCGTAGAACAAAGGACAAAATGAAGTCCAATAAAATTGGAAGAAAAAATAAATAAATTCTGCACACTTTTCCAACTTGCAAAAAAAAATCTAAATTTATTCAGCAATATTTCAGTCCCATGACCTTCATATTATATAATTGATGCAGGGTTTTTTCTACCAAAAAACTGCACAGTTTTCTGTAAATCACCCATATATATATATATATAGAGAGAGAGAGAGAGAGAGAGAGAGATTTGTTGTGTACACTATATATTTATTGATACAGTTGTGTATGTTATGACAATCACTGTATGCTTTTCAGTGATATTCTTGCATATTGCACATGTGTGTGTGTGTGTGCATGTGTGTGTGTGTACCTGTTTTTCTATTCTGATGGGGACTTAAACCTGAATACACACAGACTCATGGGGACTCATGTCACGGTGGGGACCTGAATTGAGGTCCCCACGGGTAAACAAGCTAATAAATCACACAGAATGAAGTTTTTTGAAAATCTAAAAATGCAGAAAGTTTCCTGTAAGGGGTAGGTTTAGGTGTAGGGTTGGTGTAGGGCAATAGAATATATGGTCTGTAGAGTATAAAATCCATTACGCCTATGGAGAGTCCCCACAAGGATAGCAAACCTGACATGTGTGTGTGTGTGTGTGTGTGTGTGTGTGCTGGCTCCCATATCGTGTTCTTGAGGCCAGGGGGAGCAGTAAGCAGATGGCACTGGCAGTCTGTGATGGCACTCACAGAGAGAGAGAGAGAAAAATAAAAGACACAAAGACATTTCTCACGGTGACCCACAGAAGTTTACTGATGGGGAAAAAATTAAAGGTTTCATATTCAATAAGTGATTTTTAGTGCAAATGCACTTTAAAAATTAGCTTTATTCGGATGATGGATATTGACCATGAGTTTAGGACTCAAGCATTTGCTTTACGTGTGTGTATGACACAGGAACAGCTAGAAATGACTCTTTCCTATTCAAACAGACATTGAAAGCTCTATATATCTCCTTGAGTTAAGTCCACGAAAAAAGTGTTGGCCTCCTCTCAATAGACACAATATTCTGCCAGCCGGTGGTGCTTTTGGCAGCCAAAGTCGCACCTTGCAAACAGAAGGATGTGAGGAGACAAGGGATGGATGGATGAGGAATGAAAAAAGGAAGGATGAGATCATTTAAAGTAGAGGGCGGAGGGAGACAACACCTGGTTGTGGTGCCCTGCATTTGTGTCACGACTTCTTTTGCGGTGTGCGTGCATATGATGTCATATTCCAGTCAGAAGGTGGCATCCCCTGCATGATCACCTCGACAACATCAAACACCCCCTCCATACCTCTGACATCATCCCAGAGACATCAAGATAATAAGGTGCATTTGCGTATATGTGCGTGTGTGAAGGAGAGAGAGAAAAGGGAGGGAAAAGAGGTGTGTGTTGTGGGGGGTGGTAAAGCATATATAGACACCTCATCCTTACATATGAGATACTATTAACATACTCATCTAGCTCACACAGACACACACTGACATACAAACACCACTCGCATTCAATCTAATTCCTGCACACAGAGGAAGGAAGAGAGCGGAGAGGAAAAGACAGGGATGCTCTTAGCAGGTGCCAAAAACTGAGTTGAGAGAGAGAGAGAGCGAGACAGTGGCATGGAGGACTAAAGCATTCAGTCAGGTTTTAAAAGCTCCTCGAACTATTATTGGTGAGTAAAACAACTTGAAAACTTTAAACCATGTTAATCAGTAAAGCTTTTTACTTTGAAAACTTAGTTTAACAACTATATTTGTTGAGATTTATATCAGCAAGACTGCATTATTTTATAAATATAAAATACTTGTGGCATTTTTGCATGAATTTTATTCATTTAGGTTTTTTTTATTGCACAGCATATGGTTGAATCCCATGAAACCCGACAAAAAAACAACAACAACATGTCTGGGTCATATTTGAACACCATCATTAAGGAACATTTTTTGCACCTTTGTGACAATTTTCATGACAATTAAGAATTCTGTCAAATTCTAATTACTTTAATGCAAAAATTATTGAATAAAAATACATTTTAAAAATCATTCCTTTTTCCGGTAATGTTCAAAAAAGTATTGATGTTTTGCATGTTGAGGTTTTTATACATCATAGTAGTATTTGTTGTGCGGTCTTTATGCTGATTTAAACAGAAAATCATTGCCATTTTTAATAGTAATACAGTAAAAAGAAATACTGCATTAAACTAATAACTAATCTAAGGTGAATAATTTTGTCATAGGAATTACACACACACAAACAGTCAAAGTAAAAAGTCTGGACAGAATTTAATTTTATTTAATTTAAATTTTTTTGTGAGATTAACCTATTTACTGTTATACTGTTATAGCGTACTCCAAGATGCTATTTTGTTATAATATGAAAAGTATCTATGTAGTTGAATTTATTCAAAATGGTTTAATGCATAACATAACCTAACCTCTTTCTGTTTTATTTTTTATTTTTTATGTACTGTGTATTGTTGTCTGCAGAATTTGTTTTGTGTGTTTTTATTTCCATGCTTCTCTCTCCTTTATCTGTGTTTGAGTGTGTTCATCTGAATCTAGACATACCGACTCACATTAGCGGTGCATTTGGGGCCATTATCAATTGCACCATGCTGTGCTCCTCTGTATTTGTGGTGCTTCTAGTCCTTCTGGCCAATCCGGTGCCAGGCCACACCCGGACCCTTCACACCCCTGACAAAGCCATGCAGGTGGGCTTCCTCACAGGACTAAACACATATATTTTTAAGTAGTAAATAGAATGTAGGCTGTCATTAAAAAAGATTTCCTGTCTCCACTATGCAGGTCATCGAGCAGTTCCTTGAGCGCTACAATGACCTTTTGACCCTTGATGATCTTGAGAACCTCACGAGTGACCAGTCAGAAGAGCCCATGCAGACCTTCAGCTCTGGGCTAAAGGTGGCAGAATACCCTAAGTGGATTGACACACCTGTGCAGAGCGAGAATGCCTGGCTCCGCGTCTTGAAGGGGGCTTTGGCCAATCAGAAGCGAGCTCCACCGGACCGGTTGCGGAGGGGTTGGAACCGAGGCTGTTTTGGCCTGAAACTGGACCGGATCGGCTCTATGAGTGGCCTCGGCTGCTAATAATGAACTGAGAGACGGACCGAGATGATGAGATGACTGTTGTCCCGTTTAGCTTTAGGTAGAAGTCATTACCAAATTCTGGTCAGGTTTTGGACCCTGTGAAAAAAGTTAGGTGGACAAATTCATTATATTGTGCATTTCAATATACTTATTTTTACATTGGATTTGAAGTGACATGTTGTTTAACTGTATTTGTATATTTATTTCTTAATGAAGGTAGCAAGAATTAAGTGTTTACTTTGTCCCTTGAGATGTAGATGAGATACAATCATTTTGATAATCTGCTAGTAGTTTACTAGTAAGTAAAGATCTTAAAGTGAAGTCTCAGATAGTCTAATGCATGCTATTCAGAACATAAACATATACTGCTCACCTTCTGTACTTTTTGCATGAATAAAATTTCTTCCACATCAAGTTTCTTTGTGCTTTCTGCATGTCTCTTAATTGCGTTTCCTGATCCGACACCATGAAGTGTTGTTATTACGCTTTTCTAAACGCAGGTTATCCTCCATGTGTTCTCCCACACACTGCAAATCAACGAGTTCATGGGCTGCAAATATGCAAATGGAAGAATGTGACAGGATTTTCACAGTCTTAATCAGCTCCTATTGAACAAGGACACACATCCACATCTTTCTGTGATGAGGAGTGGGCAGTCTAGTGGTGGATAAGTGAGATGTACGTGCAAGATATTCCGTTTTTTTAAGGAATTTATCGAACAACATATGATGTACTATTAACAGTTATTGTACGTGAATTTAAACAGCATCACTCTGCAAAAACTTTTGCTCTTCTAAAGCTAAGAAGGAACTGGTAGTCTTGACTTGAAGGCCTTTCATTGTATAACACAATATTTGAAGGCCCCTCATATAAGCTATATATTCCTAATAAAGCTGATTGTTTCAATAAATTAATCTTAATCACTTTAAGTCATTCTGTGGCCCCCCTAGTTGGCCACAGTCCCCTGGTTAAGAACCGGTTCTTTAAAGGGGCATTTCCTAACTCTGATATAACCTAAATCTAACTTCAAACCTATCTTGGAGTCACCACCTAATTTTCCTATAAAACTTTTTTTTATTAACAGAAACTAGAAGTGTCAATGTATTAAATTTTAACAGTTATTTAACATTTATTTTTATTTATTTATGTTTTAATTAATTAAATCAACCACAAATATTTTTACGATTCCAGGAGTTATAAGAACTGTATATTCTTTAATAAAACAATAATTCTTGATAATTACATTTAGCAATGAAATAGTTTTACATGTTAAATGCCCAGTTTACACCTTTTTAAACATGTTTTTAGCATTTTTATTTAGTCAGATTATTTCAAAATAAATTAATCTTAATCACTTTAAGTCATTCTGTGGCCACCCTAGTTGGCCACAGTACCCTGGTTAAGAACCGGTTCTTTAAAGGGGCATTTCCTAACTCTGATATAACCTAAATCTAACTTCAAACCTATCTTGGAGTCACCACCTAATTTTCCTATTATTTACATCGATATATTTCCCCATAATAACACATTTATATAAGCAAACCAACCAAAAAAAATCAGCTCAAATGCATTTTTTATTTTGACCACAAGATAGCACTATATCCTGAGACTCGAGACACTAGACTCGTCTGGGCAGTGTGCACTTCAGACAACATAGGATCCTGGACTCTGAGCTCTACAGTTATGCCACTTTATGGTTAGTAGTTAATATATAACAATCTCACATACCAACTAACAGAGCTAGTAAAGAATGATCCACACGGGAGAACAGAGTTTAAATAAACAATTACTCGTCAGCAGAGATTAACAAATCGAAAATTGGTCTGCAAATATTCCGTCTGAAGAATCGGAGCTATCTGGGGTGAACTTGGCAGCGTGACGTGACAGACGTGCTGTTTGTGTCTGTCAGGGTTACGTTCAGCTTGTCTGATTCTGTCTGAATCATGTGTCAGGCGTAACGGGGTGAATTGAGCAGGTCACTCCACAGGAGCACAAGATAGCTGCAGTGGAAAGGGTGCGGGGTCAGCCTTCGAGTGTTTGTGTATTTTTAGCCTAACAGTCCAGCACATTCTCTCAGCTGCTGGGGAGCAGATAGCAGGGATATGCACACACTATTCTGAGGCGCAGTTCCTGAGCGCTTTCAACTTGTTTCAATGAGAAGAATGATTTAGTAGTTAATATTACATGCACATAGACATACATTACAGTTACCGCTTTTAATAAGGATGTTATGATGATTAAACGGTAAGATGGCATTTTTAAAACTGTCACACCCCACTTCAATATCCTGTGACAAACTTACTTTGGCCTTCTCTTCATCTCTGTGACCTCGGAACTATCAAAAGAAGCCAAAAGGCCAGGACCGCAGCGGTCACGACAGTCCAAAATTGTCTGCAGTGCAAACTCAGATGATACTTAACACCACAGAAAGGACGAGACTAATTCAATACAAAGAAAAAAAACTGGACAAATCTGTATTCTTGCAAAGTTAAAAATCTTGCGACAAAAGTGCAGAATTACTGTGGAACATTGCACTATGACAGCTAATTGCTATACAGCGTGAATGTATTTTTATTTTATTAATTTTTTTTACAATCTGTCCCTTTGCAATGATGGAGCACCTGATCTCCTGGATCATGTCAGTGGTAATTACTAGTATAGCTCTGTGATTAATTGCAGACAGGAGACAAAGGATCAACTACATTTAAATAAATAACACCAACGCTAAATTTGATGGATAACAGAAAGATTATAATGTGATTAATCAAATGTACTTTGTGATTAAATTCACTACAGTAATTTAGAAACCAAGCAATTAATCTACCCTGTCACTCTCTGAAGGATTGTGTTTGTTTTAAAGGCATAGTTCACCCAAAAATGAAAATTCTGTTCATTTACCCTCAGGTTGTTTCTTTCTTCTGTTAAACATAAAAGAAGATATTTTGAAGAATATGGGTAACTAAACATTTCTGGTCCCCTCTGACTTCCATAGCATGGGTAACTATCAAGTCAATGAGTGCCAGAAACTGTTTTTGTTGCCCACATTCTTCAAAATATCTTCATGTTAAGCAAAAGAAAGTCAGTCATACAGGTTTGGAACAACATGAGGGTGAGAAAATGATGACTTTTGGGTGAACTGTCCCTTAAAACAGATTTCTTTCTTCAACCATTTTTCACAAAGGTTTATCATGCATTGACTTGCATACAGATGCACATTCAAATACGTTTGCACTAGTTAGAGATTATGCAGGTACAAAGACAACGGATTTCTTAACAATGTGAGGGGTTCTGGGATGCAGGAATGGCAGGGTGAAAGGGAAGTGTCATGGTCTTTCCTGTAAATGTCACACATTCACGATGAGGGCGATTTGATCCCCTGCTTCATCTCGCTCGCGGTCTGGGCCAGTTACTGTTAGAAGGTCAGAGTGGACAGACATGTTCAAATCAAATTTTCTTTTAAGAGAACACCATTAGCAAGCATTTTTCCAAAATATCTTCTTTCCTTTTCTTTTTTGCAGAGCAAGTACACCTGAAAAAAATGTGGAGTAATTGCAAAGAGTTGTGAGCACAGTAAGTCTCTGACTGTATGTTTTCCATTTTTTAGGACTGAACCTGCAGACTTTGTGTTGGCACCAAGATCATTAACATTGTGTACTGTATATGAAATATTTCCTCCATGTTAACAGATGTATTTTTAAAAGCCTATTGAAATGCACTAACTATTACTAAAGAGCTTACAGAACAAATGCCTGGCCCTTTAATAAAAACATTAAGTTTGATCGTATACACTGCTGATTTCCAAAAGGAACAATAGAAAACTTTAAATATGTCAGTAGCTATATAATATGTTTAATGTAACATGCAAAACGTTTCTTTTCGCTTGGTTTCATTTGTTATTATTTAAGTGATGCAGTTGTTTTATCCAACTTTCCCCCAATACGACCTTGACATTCTAAGGGGGCGTGGCAATTATAGCCTAAAGTCCATGGGGGGCGTGGTTACCGCCGCCGCACCAGATATAAATTAACCTCATGCTTGCAATCAGCCTACTCACACCAAGCGTCAGGACAGACAGAGACTTCTCACAAACGGTAAATTACTATTCATACATGCTTTATATCCTGTAGTGAGTTATTTTCTAGTCATAGTTCATAATATACTTAAAGGTCCGTATTATAACTATGGGCCTGCATGGGAAATTTAAAGTGTGGGAGAGATACAGATACAGCTGAAAGTGTGGGAGAGATAATTGTGTCAATCCTGCATGAAAGTCCTGTGTTCAGGTCTATATCACGACTTTTCATGAAGTTTTAGGCCTATAAAAGGGAAGTGCTTCATCATAAGGCGTTATAATCCTAAATTAAGTTTAAAGGGACTCGATCTTAAATTACACCTCTAGATAACAGCGTTGCACGTTCACAACTTGTACTTTGTTCTTCGTCCAATAATGACTGATGCAATGTAGTTAAATAGGGCTAATTGAATGTTTTCTCTTTCCCCCAGAGGACAAGACCAAAGGCATCATGGTAAAAGTTGGTATCAACGGGTAAGCGGCACTCACAAATACAAATGCGACAATTAATGTCGAGAAATCAGCCTTATTTTAAAATGTTTATTTTGGAGTACTTGTAGCAGAGGTTTTTTTTCATAGCAATTTTTTGGGTGTTGAGTAGTTTAAGCATCTAAATGCTAATTGAAAGAAGAAAAAGCTAACAATTTCAGCAGGCTGCTGGTTGATTCTGATGAATGATTAGAGGGGTGACTTCAGGTGGGTTTTTTTTTCTTTTTTCTTTTGGACGTAGGCTATAACACATTACAAGTTAACAAAACCAATTGGCATACAACTTGGATATCATATTACGTGATCTTTATAGCCATAATGAAAGCATTAACATTTGTTTACCTCAGGAACATAGCCCATGCAGGTAAAACTGCGAACCAACAAGCGTTCTCCATAACAAAGATGGTATCAGTCACTCAGTATATACTTTTAATAGTTAAAAAGGTTGAATGTTTATGAATTAGATCCGTTTCGTTGGGAGTGTAGTGCGCTTCTGAATGGCATTGATATTTGAGCGATTCTGTCGCGTCTGGTGTGGACACGGTGGAGCACGTTTAAAAAAGGGTTAGTTCACCCCAAAATTTAAATTAGCCTGTTTTACTCACCCTCGAAACATCCTAGTTGTATGTGACTTTCTTGTTTCAGACGAATCCAATCTGAGTGATATTAAAAATGGTCCTGGCCCCTCCAAGCCTTACAATGGGGGTAGGCGGGTGTTCAGTTGTCAACCGTTCAGAAGAGGTGAAATAAAGTGCATGCAACCATAATAAAACGTCCCTCATACGGCTCCGGGGGGTGAATAAAGGCCTCCTGTAGCGAATCGGTGCGTTTTTGTAAGGAAAATATCCATATTCAAAACGTAATAATCACTTGAATCTAGCTTGCGCCAACAGTTG